AGGTGTGGCGGCAGTGGGGACTTCCCTCGGGGAGCCAGCCAAGGCACCGGGAGCAGGCGAGGGGCTCGGTGGGGGGCCACGCTCACAGGGTTGTGATGCTGCGGTTTTCCCAAGAGCAGCTGGCTGTCCCTCACAGCCAGGCATTGGGCAGTGTTGCCGTTCTCCATGCTGCACCCTTGCGGAGGTGCAGGCTCTGGGCTCAGTCCCTGGGGCCCTGGCCGGTTCCAGCCGGCATCCACCCTTCCCCCCTGGTCCTGCCGAATGTGTGTGAGCAGCACGGTCCCAGGCGTGCCCTGGAGCTGCCTGCCGCGGCCACGTGCCGGCTGTCCCTCACAGCCAGGCATTGGGCAGTGTTGCCGTTCTCCATGCTGCACCCTTGCGGAGGTGCAGGCTCTGGGCTCAGTCCCTGGGGCCCTGGCCGGTTCCAGCCGGCATCCACCCTTCCCCCCTGGTCCTGCCGAATGTGTGTGAGCAGCACGGTCCCAGGCGTGCCCTGGAGCTGCCTGCCGCGGCCACGTGCCGCTCGGTCACCAGGCTGCACGTGGTTGCACGTGCTGCTTGCTGCCTAATGCTACACAGCGTGCAGCTCACGTGGCCCGAGTGACATGCCCTGCCCCTCCCACCTCTGGGTGCCTGGCTCCCCTCCTGCCTGCCCTTGTGAGTGCAAAGTGCAACACTCACCGGTGGATCCTTCCCTGGCCTCTGAGGACGCGCAGGAGACGTCGGGGCTGCCGGAGGGGGCCTGCTGGGGGGCAGTGCTGGCCTCGTCCTCCGACGCACTGCTGCTGCTGTCTCCCTCCCCCGTTGGGGTGGTCCTGGAGATCGGGGGGGACGCATGCAGGTGTCAGCTGTGACGTCCGGGGCTTGTGGAGCTGGCTGTCCCAGGATGGCGTGGAGCCGGTCATAGTGGGGGCAGGTGTCTGGTCCTGCCCCCCAGCCCTCACTAGCCCGCACATGGCCCGGGTGCAGCTCCTCCACTTTAGCCCGGACTTGTCCCAGGTTCCGGGCTGGATGGCCCTGCTGGGCTAGAGCCTGGGCCATGTGGCCAAAGATGTCAGCGTTGCGGTGCCAGGACTGGGTGTCATGCAGACCCTTCTCCTCCTCCCACAGGTCCAGGAGGGTCTCCAGCTCCCCGGAGGACCAGGATGGGGCTCTTCTTTTGCGGCCCCTGGGGGCCTCCTGCACTGGAGGTGCGGGTGGCTGAGCGCCCGGAGCTGCCATGCTGGGCTGCGAGGTGGCTGCTGGGCACGGCAGGGGCAACGTGGCAGACCTCAGGCCAGAGGTCTGAGGCATGCTCCTGCCACGTGCACTCAGCAGCCTGCATCTGCTTTAAGAGCTCGGGTTACCAGGAAGTCCGAGGCAGCTACGGGGTCTCCCAGAATCCAAGTGGCTTTTTTCCGTTTAGCCTGCTTTTGCGCAAAAGTCTTAGCTAGATGTCTACACTGGCCCTTTTGTGCAACAGTTTTTTGCAAAAAGGACTTTTGCCTGAACGGGGAGAGTCAAAGCTTTTCCGCAAGAAACACTGATTTCGGGCAGTAGATCGTCAGTGCTTTTGTGGAAAATCAAGCAGCCAGTGTAGACAGCTGGCAAGTTTTTCCAGAAAAGCGGCTGATTTTCCAGAAAAACTGGCCAGTCTAGACACAGCCTGAATGAATAGACACTTTATTGTACCATAGGAAAAACTGGGTATTTGCATCAGCCAGTTTGCTAATAATGTTTATGGAACTTAGTGAACAAGGAATCAGGCCAAACACATTTTAGGACCCAACATAAATTGCATGTAATTAGAGATTAGTAACACAGATCATCCAGTCCATCTGAATTTTTTAGTAGACTTCAAAGTCTTCATGGTTCATGAAATAGTCAGCAGATGAGCCTTCATTGAGGTGACGGCTTTTTATAAGTCCCTAGGAACAGAATGAACTTGATCTTTGCCAGAGATACTCAGGTATTCATCACTATTTATTTTTGAACATCACCTCTAGCTTTAGAGGATTTATAGAGGGGTTCTTCAGAAACATGTAGCCGCGTAACACTATGGTCCTGATCCTGCAAAGAACTCCAAGCAGATAGCTGGAGTCACTGTAGTAGAGAACATGCAACACAGTCTAAATGTCTTAGGTGAGAATCTAATCCAGAGAGGAGCAACGTAGGCTAATGAGTGGGCCTCCATCGTGGTGGGCCACAAGATTGTCATAACCAAGACAGTCTCCCAGGATAGGGTAGTTTCGCTAACGGTGCTTGTGTACCTAGAATTTGCAGGATGTACCATAGCAGCACTTTGACTGGATGCAGAAGGAGCACATGGCTCTCACAACCAAAGTTGTGTGCAATCAGCACACACCTCACTTCACATGCCTTTGCTTTAAGTGTGTGTCACCGTTGTAATACCGGTAGGAAAAAAAAAAACCTATGAGGATGAAAGCCAGCAGAATGTGGCAACCCTGTGTGTGGGCGACAGTGAACAAAATGCCTCATAGAACTCTAATGGGCTGCATGCAGCTCTCGGGCCTGAAGCTGCTGATCTAATCCTCCTTATACTTTCATGCCCCAAAATTATTGTTTGTATAAGAGCAGGCCCACAGACAATGGGAAGCTCGGGGGGCAATTGCACGGAGCCCTAGTAATTTAAAAAGCCCATGTTACTAGCAATGGGAACCCCTCCAGCCCTTTTAAATTGCACTCTAATGGGCTGCATGCAGCTCTCGGGCCTGAAGCTGCTGATCTAATCCTCCTTATACTTTCATGCCCCAAAATTATTGTTTGTATAAGAGCAGGCCCACAGACAATGGGAAGCTCGGGGGGCAATTGCACGGAGCCCTAGTAATTTAAAAAGCCCATGTTACTAGCAATGGGAACCCCTCC